CCCTGCCTTGTACTGGGAATTGAACCCAGGGTCTTTGCACTGAGCTACATCCCTAACCCTTTAAAACTTTTCATTCTGAAACAACTCATCAAGTTGCTAAGTTGCCTGAGCTATTTTGAAACTTGCAGTCCTCCTGCCTCAGCCTCCCAGAGTGCTGGGATTACAGGCGTGCATCACCAATCTGAAAGGAGAGACTGTGTGTGTGTGTGTGTGTGTGTGTGTGTGTGTGTGTGGTACTAGGGACTGAATCCAAGGCTTGTACAGGCTACATGCCCAGCACTTTAAAAAGTTTTTATTTTGAGTCAGGGTCTTGATAATTGCTCATTATGGCTTCATACTTGTGATCATCCTGCCTCAACATTCCAAGTAACTGGGATTGCAGGTGTGTGTAACCATGTCTAGCAAGGAGAGGCTTTCTTATTCATCATGTGCACTCAGAATAGGACTTGAATGTGTTATAATACATGATTTTTATATATTTACAGGATAAAGGAATGAATGCAGCTTTTATTTGAAATTGGTAGCAGTGAATGTTATTTTTTCACCCCATACCAGAAATTGAAAACAATGTCATTCATGAACATGAGTATACCATGGACAGGGCAAGAGGACCTGTCCATCCTGGGTGGAATCAACCGCTTAGAATTTAGACCAGCAAATAATTATTTTCCCTAAGGAGGAGTATTCTATTACTAGTGTTAATTAGAATTGCTAATGCATGATATAAAAAGCAGATGACATTTAGTTAGTTATTTCACTGTGTTTAAATTCTCAACATAAAATGTACCCTAGAGTCTGCAGTCTATAGAGACACCCCCACTTCCTGGGCCTAATCGTTGATGTGCCAGTGCTTGTGACAGTGGAGGAAGGTCAAGGGTTGGGTGAGAACCATGCATCTGAGCTTATGGAAGGGGCTGTGTCCATGCCATGTGTGTGTCTGTTGGCTCTGGCCTACTTCATTTCCCCAATTGTTTCTATACTGGACCTTGGAGACATATTTATCTGAACTGGATTGTTTTAAACTACACTTCTACTGATAAAATTGGTTAATACACAGCAGTAAGCAAATAGTCAAAAATTATTTCATCATACTGGCTGGACCTGTGTTTGGTCTTCTCTCTGTGCCAGGTCATAAGGTCCCTTGAGGACAGGGAAAGTCTCATTCATTACTCTGTTTTGCAGCAGCAGTGCCAGTATTGTAGAATGAATGCTTAATAAATGCGAGTTACACTGAATAGTTTTCCCCTGTGTGTTATTTTGCACATAAAACACAGCTTATGTTGTGTTCATATCCCTTATATGAAAATGAAAACAAATGACATCTTATTGAAAGATTCTTTGGCCTCCTGGGCTATAATTTTAAGAAAAATTAGCAATATACAAAATGGAACATATTTATTTAAAAGGGGAGGGGAAAACTATGCTAATTAAATGAGTAGAAGGGTTTATTTGATTAAGATAAGGAGATAAAGATTAGTGCAATAAACATACGCAGTAAAAGGAAATGCTTCATATTGAAAGATGAATTCATGAAAGTCAAAGAGAAACCAAGGCTCTTCATGTAGGAAGATTTTCAATACCCTCACAAAGCTCAGCTGAATATACCCTTCTCTTTTTGCTCATGTTCTTTTTGTGTTATTTTAGATGTTTGCTGATACTGAGTCTACCTAAGCAGCTATCTAGAACTCAGGACCACATTAAAGAAAACTAATTGAACCCCTTACATTCATGATTAATTTTGCTTTCTCATTGTTTTTAAGGGATACTGACACCAAACGTTCAGATAACCTGTTTCAGTTCTTTTTTTTTTTTTTTTTTTGGTACCAGGGATCGAACTCAGGTCCTTGCGCTTGCTCAGTAGGTGGCAAAACCACTGAGCTAAATCCCTGGCGCTCATTTTGGTTTTTGAGGCAGGGTCTTGCTGCATCACCTAGACTAGCCTCAAACTTTGGATCCTCAAACTTGCTAACCTTCCAAGTAGCTGGGATAACAGGTGCACACCACCATGCCCAGGTATTTCAGTTCTATTTATCCTTCTTCAGAAAGTCATTCTGAAGAATTTTTATATTATTTATAGAACTTTATATTTATCACTCTTAAAAATTCCTTGATTTTTGTCCTTATGAATTTGTCCTCACTCCAAATGAGAATTCATCAATAAATTTGTGTTCTTGTAGTTAGCTGTGTCAGTCATTAATGCTATCCACTAGATATTTCAGATTCTCCACCATTCCAGAAATGCCAGTAGGATTCTAAATCTTAGCATTAGGCTGGGTGAGATCATGTGACCAGTTCTGGTTATTGTATTGTGACAAGTGTTACTTCCTAGTTAGAGAATTTCATGGATGAAATAAGACCCTTTAGCAAACTCTTTTCCCTCTTACGTGGTAACAGTGACATTCGCTCTGTTGCCATGGGTCCTTGAATGAGATGACAAGAAGAGCACCCTGCTGACCCAAGATGAATACATGGTATGAGTAAACAAACTTTTGTGGCTTTGAGCCACTAGGATTTGGGGACTGCTTGTTATTGCTGCTTATATCCAGGCTCCATCATAGAAACAGAACCCATATGTACACATACACATCTGTACCCACAGAGACGGAGTCATTGAAAGGAATTGGGGTATGTTGTAGTTACTGGTTTCCAAGGAAATAGATTTGATACAGGACACATAAATTTATAGGAGTATTTAATAATATTCACCCAAAAAGTCAAATGCTGTGCATGTGCTAGAGACCCAAAGAATCCAGCAGAGGGCTTGGATCCCACAGGAGTCCAGCCAGAGGCCTAGGGCTCCCGGCAATGTCTCATGCAAGTCTGTATCAAGGATCTGCACCATGATGGCTCAGAGGCCAGTGGTGGAAGCTAAAGTCTGCACTGGAGATTTGTGCTAGAAGGCTGAGGGATCTGCACTAGGGCCGGGAAGTGATGCTCAAGGTGAAGACCAGAGCTCCTTGGAAGAGAACAGCAGCCATCCCTGGTGGCAGGAAGGACCCAAGCTCCTTTGAGAACAAGAACAGCTGAGTTTGTGTCAGGAAAAACAGCCATGGCAAACTTCTCCAGGAAAGTCAATAGCATGCCATTGGCAACAGGCCTCAGGTGGGTCTTCTGTGCCCAGAACCATGCTCACTCGTTTAGGGGGCATTTCCATCTAAGTTGACCATCAGTTAATCCACCATAGTGTATGTGACCCTGGGAGCTGCTAGGCAAGTGTGAAATCTGTCAGGATGAGCAGGCTGGAATCCTCATGCAGGAGCTGACATTCAGTCCACAGGTACAATGTTTTCTTCAGGAAGTTCTGCTCTTAAGTACTTTCAATTGATCAGTTCAAGCCCACACAGATTATTGAGGATAATCCTCCTTACTTAAAAAAATGAGTATAAACATTAAAAACATCCACAAAATGTTTTCATAGCAACACCAATGTTAGTGTATTATTGAATAACAGGACAGTAGCTTAACCAAATTGACACATACGACTGACCATCAAACTATGTCATAGCAGAAATAGGTTACTATAATTATCTGAATGCAGTAATGATTTAGCCATATATTATTGTCAGCATACCTTAGACTTCTTAAATATTCTCTCTTGTGCACCCTTTTTGTACAAAGAATTCTCAATGAACTAGGTGACAAACTCCAAATATGGAATTTTCTTCTCTACTTATTTTTTTTGAGGCAGGGTCTTGCTTTGTATTCCACACTGGCCTTGAACTCACTGTGTAGCTGAGGCTGCCCTTGAACTTGTGATCCTCCTGCCTCAGCTTCCCCAGTGTTGGGATTACAGGCGTACGCCACCGCACCCTGCTTGGAATTTTCTTTTAACTCATAAATTAAATGGTAGTCTGTGGAATTCTTTTCACTTTTGAATGATTGTTCACGATGGGCTATATGTTAAAATACATAATTATAAATTATTATTTAAAAATACTATTACCAACTTCTATCCAAATTAAGTTGGTGGCAACGCCAAGCTAAATGTGTCTTGACTCCACTTACATTTCTTTCCAATCCTCCTCTGGTGTCTCAAAGACTCATCTTCTTGTCAGGCCTCTTAGGAGTGGTCTCACTTCTGTCTTCCACAAATCCCTGTCAACTACTTGTTTTCACCAAGTATTCAGCATATTCTTAGCAACTTTTGCATTTATTAAGTCGATCATTAGAATGTATATTTAAAACATTATCTAAATATATAACACAGCTGTCTTTATTAACTCAGTGTGTGTTCTATGTTTCATTTTCCTTATACAGAAAAATAATGGGTCTGGGCTTCAAGACTTCTAATTTCTCTACTATCACCAACAATCTCTGCATTTATCACATAGTTATTTCCTAAATGAGTGTGTGCCTGTGTGCATGTGTGTGTGTTCACACTTTATTTCTCTTCTCAATGCTTCTGACTCATCTTTATGAGTCTAGTATATGAGATTACTATTGATTTGATATTTAACATGGATGGAGTGAGTCTATGTGGATCACCATGGAGACGCTCATGCTTAGATGTGAGTCACTTTCCTCACCACTGAGACACAATTTCTGACACCCATAACTTAAATAATGAGAGGTTCATTTTAGCTCTAGTTTTTAGAGGTTTCAGTCTGTGGTTGGGTGGCTCCAAGATAGGAAGGACAGGGTGGAAGGGTCTGGAGAGAAGCTGCTCAAGTCATGGTGGCCAGGAGGCAGATAAACCCTCCCAGCTCATGCCCCTAGTGACCCACCTCTAGCCAGGCTCCACCTTCTAACAGCTGAGCTCAGTAGTGGATGGACCGCTGGTGAGTATAGCACCCCCATGATCCAGTCTCCTTCCAAAAGCCCCACCTCTGAGCACATGAGAGTTCTGGGAGACAATCTCAATACAACTATAACACAGGGTGTACTACAGCATTTGTTTTCCTTCCTCTTCCAAGCTACTTAAGTGAGGACAACTTGCACTTCATTGAGTTGTTGTTAGATCAGCATCTCTAGATTGCAAAGAACAAACATGAATCAGACTATCTCAGTTAATGTGAGTTTATTTATGTCAATACATAAGAAAGGCAGGAAGATATGAAAGCAACCCAGTAACCACAAACTCCAGACTCATTGTTCAGGAATCAGTCATTTCTCCAGTAACCCAAAAGCAGAAATGGTGAATCAAAAAGACCTCTAGACTTGGTGGCAAAAGTCATTGCCATTCCTGCTCCAAGGTGGCCATATTATGGTGACTGTGTCTATCTTGGTTGCTCTTGCTGCTACTCATTTACTTTCTATCTCTCATAGTCAGACTCAAATGGGTTGGGCCAAGTATTTCTGGGTTTTCTTCCCTTAGGCCACCTCATGGCCTGAAAAGGAGTCACTTGGACTCAGGTCTTGAATCTTGATATAATCAACTGACCAGTATGGAGAGCTCATACGATAAGAAACATGATCTGCTTGTACAGAAGGTATGGGCATGATCTCTCAGGGACACTAGGAAAACCATACGTCCACCTATGAAATATGAATAATAACATATGGCTTTATTTCTGGGGACAAAACTTGTTTTTTTTCTCAAGGACACTTTGCCACACAGGATTTTCAACGTGCTCTATCAATACTTTTCTGAAACTATGGTGCTGTCATTCTTTTATTACGTTTTTGGATGTTGCCTTTCAGAAAGAAGCAGATAATCTTCACTTTTAAGTAAAAGTAAATGAAATCATAGAATAATCTCTGATCCACGTGAATATTGTTGGATCATATTTTCTGAGTTGTCTTTAAAAATCTTCATCCTTCATTTGAATTGGAAAGTCACATATAATTTCAATATTTTGAGTCCTGGAAAATGAGGTCATATTCCCAAGATCAGTTGTGTACCTTTATGAGAACACTGTAAACTAGAAACAGGGTTTGTCTGCATTTGTGTCTTTCAAGGAGCTCAGAATTTCTCAGCTATTCCTCAGAACTTTCAACCTATGGAAAATAGGAGGATCTAGATGGGAATTAATATTTCAAGGTGTCTGAGGCCCAGGTGAATGAATTTTAGAGCCAGACGTCCACTTTACAAAAAATAACTTTTCTCCTTAGTAATTAGTCTGTCATGTGAAGTGAAAATAAACCACAAATAATTTTCACCTTTGCTATGATTTAATTGGGCCTCTTGCACATGGTTGTCTCATAAAATTATTATTAACCCAATTAAAAACATGAAATTATAAGACTCAGAAACTTCCAATCCAATCAAATTATTGACTATTGCAGATTCAGAAAGTTCACTGTATTAAATCTTTGCTAAACTCTCAAATGACAGCTTTAAAAAAAAGTCCACCTCTGCAGATTTCTTCTCTTTCTAAAAAGGGTATTAGTATATGCACATACAATGCATATTCTTTCAGAGATCAATCTTTGGCTCAAACCTAAATTACTATAGCAAATCAACCAAACATTATCGAATATGGGCCCTACAAAAGGCAGTGGTACACTGTCCAAATGGGTTTGAGTGGATCCTCTGAGTGGCCAAATGAGAAGGGGACTGTACCTTTGAAGGAGTTGTCTTAGATGTTTTTCAAGGTAAGCTCTGAATCTCAGATTCAGAATGAGTTTGTTGGGGCCTGGGGGTGTAGTTTTTTTTTTTTTTTTTTTCCTGGTACCGGAGATCGAACTCAGGACCTTGCTTGTGAGGCAGGCGTGGCTCCATTCAGCTAAATTCCCAGCCCCTGGGGGTGTAATTTACTGGTAGGCTCTTGCCTAGGAGGCTCTAGGTTTGATCCCCAGCACTGTAAAAATATACCAATCAAATAGGCCTGCTGAGAAGACACAAGTGTCTATGATTATGGATTTACACCTAGATAAGAGAGCAATGAATATGAGAGGCATCTGACCTTGTATCCGCAAACACTTTTTCTGTCAAAAGACCACAGTGTACCTCATGGTATCTATAATTGTTTCTTCACTAGGAAAGATCACTTATTTACTCCAAATCAACAATACTAGGAACAAACTTTATAGAGGGAAGGAATAGGTTTAGAAACTGACTGTTGGGTGAATACATAAAACTGTGGGCCCACAGCCTGTTGGGCCAGTTACATTTACTTTGTCACTTATAATAGTAGAAGAGCAAGTTTATTTCTGAGATCAAGCTGAGGAGAAAAAGAAATGCTTCATCTCACAGTATGAACAAGCCTTATAAATTTACTTCTGGAAATAATTGAGCATTTGATTATAAGAAAGATTTGATCATTTTAATGATTCCCTACAAATTCAACCCTATATCACATCAAATTATTTAGGGATCAGAATGTTAATAATATAGATATGCCCAGTACACATTTATCCTATTTATATAAAGGTACATTAAAAATTCCAAGAGATCCTTTGCAACAGGATTAGAAGGTTAGTAGTTAAACACAGCAAAAGAAAATACATAATGGCCTGTTAAATTTCACATTTCTTTTTAGTCAGGTTCCCAAAAGAAGTCTAGGTAATCAGTGGTCTTTTATAATTCTGTAAGTACAAGAATGGGTCAAAAAAAAGAAAAGTAGGTTTTTACAAGCTGAAGAAACTTCTGAAGGATACCTATCTAGTCACCATACAAAGCAGTATTTTCATAATTCAGCCAAAGATGGGAATTCTCTCAAATGGAAAAGATTAAGCCTAAATGGAGTCCACTTCAGGGCTAGTGAAAAACCCACATTGATTAAAGTCAGCAAAGTAAAAATAGTAAGCAGCTATTTGGTTAACAACATATAAAAAAAAAGGAAAGAAGTTAATTTATAGCAAATAGGAAATTTGTTTTGTTTTTTTTTGGTACCAGGGATCAAACTCGGATCCTACCGCTTCCGAGGTAGGTGCCAGAACCACTGAGCTCAATCCCCGGCCCAGGAAAATGTTTGACTGTGGATTAACTTATTCAATCTATCTTAGGCCAAAGGAGAGTTTGAAGGAGAGTTTCTCCTTCAAAGGTTTATAATAAATTGCACCAGTATACTGGGAAGAAATACGGGGTGGGGGGGAAGACTTGATATCCACAATGGATGGAGCTGTTTATAGGGACTGAATTTGAATATCCAATAGCAAAGTATCTTTCATTACAGGAGCTGACTGTTCTATTACAGATATTGGCAGCTTTTTATGTTCCTTAAATGTTAGAAATAATAGAATGAATTTTGCACTGAGAAACACATACAAATGGGTCATATGTACGGGGCGGGGGGGAGCAGATTCTAGGGTAGAATTCCTGAGACAGGCTGATCCTGGATCTGACTCTATCAAGAAATTCTTATAGTCTTTTAATTTCCCTCTGGAATTTAGTTCAATAAAAGTTTCCACAAACAGAACTCTCAGAATGAATCAGTCACTTGAGAATAACCACAGGCTGCTGGGAAATGAGCTTCTGTCAGTCCTGGGTTCATCGAGGCACTTTTAACAAACCAGAAACACATTAATACAACACATTTTCAAAGGGTAAGATCAGCCCAAAACGAGACCCGACCCATCTCACTAAGAACCAAATCAGACATGAGACAAACCACAGCACAGAGTCTGGAGAAAGTGGTGCTCAAAGCTATCCAAATGCAAAGGTTTTCCTCCCACAGACCTTTTATTTCTTGAACTGAGCCTACTTTGACTTTTTAAAGACTCTAGCTTTCATTTTACATATGTTCCACAGGACCTTGGGAGTCTATGATGTTTCTCTTTACAAGGTTCCTTAAAGACAGCAGACATTTTCAGTGTGCATCCCTTCTGTCATTGCCAGGAACCCAACATGTGGTGGTTACAGAGCACAGGTAGACTCTCAGAAGGCTCTGCTTCCTCTGCCATGGACTGATAAGCTGTGATCCGATTCTGTGATATACCAGTGGCCAGTGACAATGCAATTGATGCCAACAGTATTGATATTTGGCAATATGTTTCAATGATTTGATTTCAGGGAGATAAATTCTTTGGGGTGGGAAGGAAGCAGGCTGCATAAAAACTGTTGATGCTCGTGCCTAAGTTTCAAACAGGCTGGTCCAGCAGAAGTTCATATTAGACTCTGGAGTAAGAGTGTCCTCACATAGTGAACCACTGTTTAAAACCAATACTTCAAAATGGATAAGGCACTAGGTTAGCGTTAGTGACAGAGGAATCCAAAATATGATTTGGTTTCAAATTGTATTTGGTTTTCTTTTTCCTCCCCCTAGGGAAATAACTTCTGAAATGTTTATGGAGAAAATGCAAGGTTAGTAGTTACCATCCTCCTTATATTCCCTGCCATGGACATCTACCTGATAATCTCAAATTAAAGTGTTTTTGTTTTGTGTTCTTTTCCTCTTGGGAAATATTTCCTGGGATGTTGGGGGCAGGAGGGATGGAAGTAAGTAATGTATTTAGCACAGATGCAAAGAGAGGAAACAGAGCGTCCATATGAAAGAGAAAATTCTACAGAATAGAATGTTCTCCGGGGAGACAGACTCATCTATGATGTTCTCAGCACAGGGACCATTTTCCTGGCTGCTGCAGAAGGCCACCATTGCCTCCACCACCCTGTTGTCCCTGGTGAGGTGTGTTGCTGTCCTGCAGAGCCCTGAAGCTGCCAGCACCTGGCAGATACACCATTTGGTGGGGCTCAGAAAGAAAAAAGCAACTATGGTCATTTCCTAAAAGATGACATCCTCTTCTCCTACCACATGGATGCAAAAGTATAGGCCATTTTTCTAGACCTACAGTTGGCTGTGGACCAGTATTCTAGTAGACAACTTAGGAATCAACAAGGAAGTAACTATTTTCTTTCCCTTTAGATGTTCTTTTTCAAATCCAACCTTTTTGTTTGTCCCAGGGTGAACTTGGTAGGTTTGCTTATCTACACTCCACTCTTTCTTTTTAAAACCATTACTAAAGCCACCATTACTAGATTACTGGAGGATAACTCCCTACTCAAACAAGGACTATGCATATGGTGCATATTGAGAGTCTTAGGTATTGGCCATTACTAATGAACAATTCCATTGAGAATCCCCCCAAAGCCATAAAAAAACGCTATTCTTAACCATACAGCTTCTTTCCAGCTTTCTGAATTGACTGGTTAAGGATCCAGTGAAGCAATACTTGGAAACAGAAAGGAAGTAATGTGACCACTAGTTAACCAACAGAAGCCATTCTACCTGGAGTGACTCCACTAGGCAAGCTTCATAGCTTCCACCATCACCCTTCTTCACTAAATCAAGTCTCTAGAAATGAAAAACAATGGTTGAAATTGGTTTTGTCCTTGCTCTGAAAACACATGGATATGTTGGTCCTAAAGAATGACCCAAGCACAATGTCTAGTTTTGTGTTGATATTATTTATGCCAAAGTGACCCAACAAAAACATTCCATCCAGATGTTGACAATCCAGGTCTCCACCAGGGGTTTTGTGTCGCTGCATTGTTGCCATCCATTTTTGCAAGCTGTAGATTTGTTTTCCCTTCTGGGTCCTTGAGGAGGACTTGGTCTTGATTATATCAGGATACCGCAAAGATTATTTCAAGAAAAAGATTAAACATTATAATGCTTAGCATTTATATAGGTTCTTTTGATTTCAAAACAAGTTATAAATATCTCCTACCATGACAACATCCCTGCGAGGTAGGTGAGTATTACTGTCTCTACATTAGTGATAGAAACCCCAGGGCAAGGTGTGTAGGCTCTGTTCTGAGCCCCACGGACAGGAGCCACACTGGCTGTGGGTGTCCTGGCTACCTACCTGGGCTCTTATGTAGCAACAGTCTCCATTAACACAGGGTTATATACTGTATAGATATAAAACAACACATAATGACATCATAGGACAATAATCCAATATTTCTGTTTCTTAGTAAAATATGTTAAGCACAGTATTTAAATTGCGTTTCTCTGAAAAGCATTTGGTATATTAAATAGCAGAAGGTATATTAAATAGCTCTATAAACTTTTGCTGGCATACTCTTAACAACATAATGATTCTAAAGAAATTTAAACCCACTCACGCATAAATACCTTTCCTTTATAATACTGTAAACTAAACAAAAAATGTGGAAAACTACTTTGTTCTCAAAATGCAGACTTAGTAGCTTGCTGGATATTAGCAGGTGGCTACATCATTTTTCTGAGCTTGAGAGAAAGGGTACCTATTGCTGGCTGCGGTCTTTAAATAACCGATTCGGTAGGGGAAAGAATGTAGTTGAGAGGTGAAAATTAAAGACTGTTATTTCCATTTTGTATTCATGTTGAGGAATCCATTCATTTTCAAAAGATGTTACCATACTTGGAACTAATATTGAGGTGACTATAGGGATACTATATAATAAGGACATTTAGTGAGAAGATAAAATGATAAAATAAAACCTATGATATTAAGAAGATGCTGAACAAGGACATAAAAAAGGGTATTTTTCCAAAGTGTTGAAGGGTGGCATAAGATGTAAGCTATGTATATTTAGGGGCTCGGATAGGTCTTGGAGATGGGTTACAAAGGCAAATCCTTGGTGTTATCAGTGTCTTCTCCATGGTGAAATCCTCACCTTCCTCTCCCAATCAGCGGGGCTCAGAATGGTGCTAAGGAAAAGAGCTCACCTCATGCTAAGCTTCTTAAGAACTAACCAGTGGTCAGCAGAAGAGGCCCTAAAGCCAGAAAGGAACAGGAAACACAAATCAAAGTCTTAAATTTTGTATGCAAACATAAAAACGAACGTCCAAGCCAGAATGACATTCTCTGTCAGAAGTAACAAATACGAAAGTCTTAAATTGCGAGTACAAGGCGCTAAGATATTGTTAGCTGGAGATACTACATGTCGTTCAATTTTTTTTACTGTGTGCTTTTTTTCTCCTAAAAAAGACATATTAAATTGTTCTTCTCTCCTCAAGTCCTTGGGGTATAAATAGGAAACGCGAATGCCGACGATCAGTTTATTTCGTCGTGTTGGGCATCCTTGGCAGTTTTGTTGGCAGGGGCTCTGGGTTCGAACAGGCCGGAGCAGTTTGACTGCTTGGTGGGCTGTAAGGTTTTGGCATAAGGTGAATACCAGTCCCTCTCGAACACGTCTTTAAGTTGCTTAATGATACTTCTGTTGTTCCTCACGTCTGCTTGGTTGATGACAAGGCCCGTGCCGGCATTCTGGGTAAAATCATTCCCTACCCAATCAAAGTTTCCTGTCAACAAACAAAGGCACAATGGTGAAGAGTTAGGATCCATTGGGAATGATGAAATACAGATTGGATTCTATTTAAAAGATCCAAACTACTCAGGAATACTGACAGGGAGGAAGAATTGTGTGCTGACAGTTCCAAAAAAAAAAAAAAAAAAATCCCAAGAAGCAAGCCTTACATATGGCATATTAATATTTGCATATTATTTTGGCATTTTCTTCAGCTTTGCTCAAGTTGAAACTCAAAACAAGGAATCTGCTGTTCTTTTTTGTCAATGTTATTTCTTATTGACGTTCACAAGACACACTAAATACAGCAACATTTAAAACATATAGGAATACACTTAAAAATCTTGTGAACAATTACTACCTTCTCAAAGAGACAACATCAAATCCATATGTACAAACACATCATACTGCGAGGAGCCTCCCCATCAAAGGGAAGGCGGAAGCAGAGCCATCCTGCCCCCCCCGCCCCCACACACAGGTGCTGTGAGCACCAGCTCTGCCTGTGCCTGTCTGGTGTCAGACAGGGCACTGGCTTCCCAGGCTGCTCTCTTGAAGTCTCACAAACTGAGGGGTTTAAACAACAGAAAGGGATTTTTTTCACACTTCCAGAAACAAAATCAACATGTCTGCCAAACAGGCTCCTCCTGAGGGCTGAGGGGAGGACCTGTCCCAAGCCTCTCTCCTTGGACTTTAGATTGCTGTGTCCTCCTTCAGCCCCTTCATATTGACTTCCCCCTATGCATATCGGTGTCCAAATCTCCCCACTTAGTTATATATTTAATTATTTATTTATGCAGTGCTGGGGATGAACTCAGGGCTTCTACCCGTGCCATACCAGTCAGTGCTCTACCACTCAGCTTTATCCCCAACCCTTTCTATTTGATTTTGATTTGATTTGATTTGAGCTGCCCAGGATGGCTTTGAACATCCTCCTGCCTCAGCCTCCTGAGTAGCTAGGATTACAGGCATAAGCCACCATGCCTGGCAAATGTCCCTTTTCAGGAGGACACTGGCCATATTAGATTAGTGGCCACCTTAAACATATCATTTTAAATTGATTAACTCTGAAAAGACCGTATTTCCAAATAAGGTTGTATTCTGATGTACTGGGGCTTAGGACTCCTAGCCGCAAATTTTGAGGGGTCACAATTCTGCTCATTCTAGGTAGCAAGGCTGTGATCAGCCTCAGAAGAGTCTATAATGTTTATGCTATTCCAGTGCAGTCCACCTTCAAGGCAGGCCGATCTGCAGGCTGGGCAACCCAAAACTCCTGTGTGAATCTCTCCAGTGGGGAGAGGGTTTCAGCGGAACAGAAGTTCTCCACACGAGGGGACCATACCATATATCTGTGATCTTTTTTGCCCTTTATTTAATGCATATTAATTGAGTGTTGAATGTCTACCAGGTACTATATTGTTAGAAGCAATAAAAATAAGACTGAAAATTACAACCCCTGCCTTCAAGGAATGCAGGAGGGAAACGCAGTAGTTATCACACAAAGGGTATGCAATGGTACAAGAGAAGTATGCACATGATGTCAAGAGCACAGCAGAAAAGCGAATTCTAACTCTGCCCAGTGTGTCAGGAAAGGAGCATTTCACTGAGTAAGGGGCGGTGGGTCGAAATTTAACTAGGGCAAGAGAAAGTCACACCCCAGAGGGAGGGTGGCATCTTGTGCACAGAAAAATGATGAGGGTATCGAGGAAGCTGAGCTTGAGGTCAGGATCTAAGGGAATCTGAGGGTAAAGGGACTGTCATGTGTAACTGCTTACTATGAGCAGAGAACTGTACTTGGTATTTGTGTACATCATTTCATATGATTGGTATGATTTACCTCCACTTTAATGATGGGGATGAGGGGCTCAAAAAGGTGAAGAAATCTACCCAGTGTCTCATGGCCACTGAATGGTGCACCTGAGTCTCCAGCCTCTGTGAGTAACCCACAGTATCACAAACCAAGAATTCAGTTTATAAATGACCACCAGCCCAGGTATGATCGAAGCTTTTACTGTTGTTCTCCTGTTTGGTTAAGAGCTGCTTCCTTGAAGGGAGCTGATGCCTTTTTAAGTGTCCACCCTGGGTTCTCATTTCCAAGGTGGCCATCTAAGGCTCCCTACAGAAGCAAGATCACAGCCTTTGGGCATCGGTGACCCAGTGCCCTGGAGCCATCAGTGGAGAAGTGCCCACAGAAGGCACATGTGTAGGCAGAGCCAGTGCCTGGCCCTTTATAGTTTCATCCTTTGGTCCCTGCTCTGCTCTCTGGAGTGCCCCGGTCAATGCCCCATTCCATACAGCACCCACTGGAATACCAGAAGGGGTTTCCTTTGTCCTCCATTTTACTCCATAAGTTCACTCCTTACAGCCTAAGAATACCAAGTCCCTACCTCAAATATGAGCATAGTAAGAATCTGCTCTCCACCAGTCCTAACTCACTACCTGCTGCCCCATAAATGCCACAACGATGCTGTCAGTGGCTTTGTGAGAAGAAGAAGGGTGCTATAAAGCGACTCACCGTCCTACTCACGGTGCGTAAGATCGTGTCAGAGACTGCACACAGACCTCCTCTGCCATGCTATGTTCCTGACTTTTGCTCTCAGACTCATGGCCACACTCAGAGGCCACGGTTCCACGCAGACACTCAGTGCTTGGATCTCTAAACTGGGGACGCAGGGCCACCCAGAAATCTGCTGGTGACAGTGATGCTTCTGCATTTCCTAAGCAAAAGGCTTCTTTGCTCTTTTGTGACTTTCATAGACTTTTAGATGAGACACTAAAATCTCAGCCCTACAGCTATGGTCCCACGCAGGGCCTCCTGTGGAGTTTTGGCACGGCCACAAACACAGTAAAACGCAATCATGTGACATTGTCTCTTTCGATATTCACTTCAGTCCTACGTGGTGAAAAACTAACTCCATTGTACTAGTGAGGAAATCAACGCACAGAAAGGTTAAGGAATTTGCTCAAGGCAAGAGTAGCACAGTATCAGAGCTGAGGCTGAAAGCCAAGTCTAACTCTACAGCCCACACTTCTATGCCAGGCCATCTCTGACCCAGAAGGCACCCACTGTGTGGCTGCCAGGGTTCGGGCATCACAGCCACACTGAGATTTCTGCTCTGTTCATTGGCAGATGGCTCTCAAAAGGGCATATGTGCTGTGGGCAGCATGGGCAGAGGGAACCCAGGAGGGCAAAAGGTTCTGAAGCTACTTCATGAATCTGCCCTTCTCCTTCTTATACAATGGGTCCAGCATCTTCACTGATCCTCAAATGTTTCAAGTACATTCTTCTTGGGAAATAGAGCTCCAGGAAGAAGAATTCCTACACCAGTGTGATTGTGTTCTTCTACCTTTTACTTCCTGATGGTTTGGCTGACCTTCAAAGTATGCCTCACTATATACACATATATATATTTAATTAGGATGCAGTGTCACCAGTCTTTTCCTGAGACTGCCATTTCTGCTTCCAAAAGCACGCTCAGGACCTGGTGGCCAGAAATGCAGCATCACCCTAAGGAAAGCGACATCCAGGGTGTTCATGAGCTCCCCTGGGAGGCATCTGGGCGGCGGGAGCCTTTTAGATGGCTTCAGTCAACCCCCCACTGACTCCCCTGTCGGCCCCACGTTCATTCCACACCTCGCAGACAAGTCTGTGGAGCTCCACTCCCATCTACCCTGCAGAAGATGACACAGCTCAAGAGTCCTTCTGAAGTCTCCTGAAAACTTAACAGAGCTGTAATTGCATGCAAGGCCCTGGTGTCACTCTTTCTTACTTCTGCATTCTCACCAAGTGTCTGAATGATGACTATGACTTAGGAGATTTCCAGAGCAGGCTGGTAATTACTTAAATTATCAACGAATTATCTCTCTTGATGTTCCTTGAATATTTTTATACTAGAACTAGGGTGCACTCCAGGGAATTAATGTTTTGCCAAAATGTTGTAGGTAAAACGAACTCACTTTAAAATGCCTTAGATAGGGAAGAAGAGAAAGAACAGGCCAGGGATTTAGCTCAGTGGTTTCGCCATCTGCTATGCAAGCGCAAGGAACTGAGTTCAATCCCTGGTACCAAAAAAAAAAAAAAAAAGATGCCACAGAGAAAGGATTAAAAAAAAAAATCATGTTTACTAAGGATCTAGATAGATCAGAGACAGTGTCTGGAGCTATTTATATGTTACCTCATTTAATTTTCATATCACTGCCAATGAGTGGGTGTTGCTATCCCCATTTTGTAGATAAAGAGACAGCGGCTTACTAGATATTATATGACTTTCTGCCATCTTCCAGCTTGGGAGAATCAGTGCTGCAATTCACATATAGTTTGTCTGATTATAAAACAGTTATTTAATGCATCAAAGAGCACTGAGATTATCAGTGCAAGTTACTACCGAATGCAAACCCCACAATACCTAGATTGGAATTTCTAAAGCTACTAAGCCTGAAACTTCATCCATCCCTAGGTTTCCTAATAATTGAGTCAAAAGTTGGAGTTTTTTTTAACTAAATAATTTTGAGAATTTTTGGTCACTTGCTTAAAAAGAAGCGGATTTCATTTTATCTTCCATAAAATAGCCGATAAATATAAGAAAATCCAAAGAATCACAAATGAAGCCCCTAAGAGGGACAAGAATAAGATAATATGGTTATATACCAGGACAGCCAAAATGACATCCATTTAAAAATATTCTAATAGCCGGGGATGCAGTGCCTGCCTGGCAAGTACAGGGCCCTGAGTTCGATTCCTGATACCAAAAAAAAAATGCTGACACTCTGTTTTAATAAAGCGATCCCATAAAGTGGTTCCATATTAGAATGGAAGAGGGCAGAACATCTGCTCCGTAGGCAGGAGTCAGGAAGTCCTCGCAGGTCCCTGGCAGGGTCTGTGCGGGGTCCTCCAGGCCCACGCCTCGCCATCCCTGCAGGCTGCTGCTCACTTCTCGTCTGACAGCCCAGCGTCTTCATTTCTAAACTGCAGATGAATAAACGCTGCCCTCTCCTTAGGCAGTGTTGCTAAGAGTATCAAGTAGGATGAAGTGCTTTACGAAGTGAAGATGCTGTATTTTGTACTCCCCCACTGAATTTAGGAAAAACACTCGATGTGGATCTCATATTCTTACAGTTCCAATTTTCCTCCTGTGAGACAGCTAGTTCTTCTGCACAATGCAATAGCTACACTGCTAGATTTTGGTTTCTGTGCCCTCTTTTTTTTTTTTTTCTGTGCCCTCTTTAAAAATAGGTAATTTCAACTCTACCCGTGATGGTTCTAGCTTTGGGGTTACCTTGGACTCATACACATTGTGGAATATTTGAATACACTTGATACATTAGGAAACAATTCTACCAATATAATGATTTCTGCATCTAGAACATTATTAAATTAAAATAACAGCTGACACGAAATGGGTTTATCTATGTGTCAGAAGCTTTGGATCTATTATCTCACCTAAACTTTACCCAAGGAAGAAGAAATTGTCATTAGCCCCATTTTACAGATGAGAAAACTGAGGCTTAGAGAGTTCACATGAACTGTCCAAAGCCAGATGTTTAGAAAACAGTGGGGATGAAATTAGTGTTGGACAGTGCAAGATCTGGCACTGAACAGCCCCAGTGTCTGTGTCACCATGGCTGGTGGCAGCCTGGCTGTGATGGGCAGGAGCGTGGGCCTCGTGCCTGGACACCCCTCTGATGAGCCAGGCGCCTCCTGGCCTTGGACCAGAGAATGTCTGCAAAGCATCTCTGAGTACACGAATCAAGCTACACAGGACACGTAGCTGAGGAGTGTTTGCCTCCCCCTCGTGCTTCCTCACCAAGTCCCCAGTTGCCGGCCAGGGCTCCCAAGGGGCTTTGTCCTTAGCACAGGGTGCTGCTGAGCACAGCTGGGGCCTGGTGCCTGGTGACCCCCGCACCTACCAATATAAGCGGCTCCATCGGTCACCATGTACTTGTTGCGGTTTAACTTAGGAAAGGGGAGATTCTTTTGTTCTTTTGTTTCACAAGCATTCTCTCTTTCCAGGTCGAAAAATTTCTGTAAGACCAAAAAAGAAAAAACAAAGCAGGTGAATAGAGAATGTACTGGTCTCCTTCAAGACCTCACACTGGGTTATTAAAACCACACTCTAGTTACTTTGTGTTGCAGAATCTATTTTTGTTCTCAAATCTGTATCAGCAACAAGAGAGAAAATTAGCATGCTCAACTAGGTCCATAATTAACATTTTTAAACTACAAAATGAACACAAAATTCATCCTTTCAGCAGGGTGAGGGGCAGAAGTTGTTTAATTCTCATTGTCTTGTTCATCAGGGCGCAGTGGCTTTGAAGCCTGCCTCAGGGGGCTTCCCCTCAAGCGTGCCAAGGAGCTGAATGAATATTCTTATGCCATGCACGCTTGGTGACAGTGACTGGCTGACTCAACCAGGGATCCGCAAAGGTCAAAAGAGATTTTGCCACAGGTACAAACCTTTTCCATCCAAACACCTAAGTCTACAAGCTCTTACAAGGGGCAACTCAAAATAAAAATCATAACTTCAAGTCATGAATCTGAATTGACCCAAAAAGCAGCATCACAGTTCACTCTGAGCTCAGAGTAGGACCCCTGTCAAATACAGAGGTCTCAGGTCTCTTTGTGTTGGGAAAGGAACATTTTCAGAACACACAGGTTCTTTCTCCAGTGTCTCCCAGCTATGGAAGCCTATGTATTGGAAGGAAAGAAGGGGCAGAGACAAACATGAGATGAACAACCAGAAGAGGAGCTGCCATTTATAGTTTCAGATCTGCCTGTATTCACATTTGGTTTGGGGACTTGGTGAGAGTTGGTCTTTCCCTGTGTCCCGGGTGGGGAAGGAGTGGCCTAGCTGATCACTTCTGGCCCTGAAAATCCTACATGGGTTTTTGGTAAAACCTCTAAAATCCATGGTGCACAGATCAAAATCTACCACCCGAGAACTGGGTATTCCACAGCACGGAGGTGAGTTCTCTCTGGGCTGCATCCCCGTGGTTATAGCAATGCTCCCTGGTCCACCTGATCTCCTCATTGCTGCCTTCCATATCTTCAATTCGACTTAACAGGTGAGTGCTTTAAAGCCACCCTGATAAATTCATGAAATCCGTGAGGACGAAGGTGTCATCAGTGGGTAACAGCCAGCACTTGTCTCACGTAGATATTCCATCACTAACTTGTCAAAAACACTGCTCCGTTTCCTTCAGAGAAAGATATTACTGTAGAGTGGAGATGGATTTGAAGAGGAATAAAATATACAGTCTAAGTTAAATCAAGGATAGATTCACAGCTTGAGGTTTTCAGCGAGAACCCTTTCTTGAGAAACTCAGTATGATGGCCCTCTTGGAGACTAACAGCATAGCAGAAATCAGACCTTATTCACAGACATTAATAGATGCCTTAATATGTTGTAAGAGGACAGCAAAGACATTTAAAACATGGTTGGTTAATTTAGTAAAAAATAAAAACTCAGGCACCTGGGACAACCTATGAGTTGCAGTCTCTTTCCATAAGCTCTTCATGGATGCAGAGCCACATCTGGGTGCGGGTGAGGATGGGGGCTAGGGGTGGGGTAGGCACGGGGTGGCATCCCGCCCGAGGACAGAGCTCCCTGCCTGGTTCCCAGCCACTGCTTTCTGAGTGCTCTGCAGTGCCTCAAGATGGACCACAAGAGGGTTCCAACGCCTGCTTTTCCTGGAGGAGCTTCTCAGCCATCTGGGCTCTAGATGGCAGGGCCATAAGCTTCCTTCCCACCCAGGCTCGTCTGGGCACTTTGACTGGCATGGCCTCTGTTTCATGAAATGGCTAGCAGTGAGCTAGTGATGTGCGGTGTGTCCAAGAAACATAACCATCCGTGTCAAAACCACGAAGCTGAGGAAGTACAGGAGAAGTCACAGTGATGGAGGGACTCTTACTCTCCCGCGATTTCTTTCTCAGAAGTCTTCAGTGGGAACACTTAGAGTGTCGCTGCTGGGGAGATTCGGTGGCAGTGTGTTGAGGGGTGGCAGAGACCCCTGACTTGGCCTGAAGGAAGCTGAGAGGGAAGGTGGAGGCAAAGGCATCGCACAGGGCTGCGTGCTGTCCGGTCTGCCCCTGCCAAGCCTCCTAAATGTGACTATGGTGTGACAGCCGGTGACGACCCAGGCTGACCTCCAGAGGGCTGAGTGCTCTGGCAGCACAGGCCTGCAGACAGATGGCTAACCACGCCTTGGACGGGCTCTGCCCGGGGCATGGCTCCGTCAATGGTGTGTAGGGCCTTTCCCATCGCTCTCCCTTTGTTCCTGCCTTTCCTTGACTTCATTTGTCCAGCATTCGCACTCTCTGCACATGTGTTTGAACAGGTATCGCGCCGGGAGCTGGGAATTCCACGGTGCTTAGACACCTGCTCTTTGTCTCAACAGATTTTCCCTGGATCCCTGCACGTGACTTCAGTTATCCAGATAAGACTCTTGGAGCTGAAACAATGCCACTCATTTTCTTGTCTGTGAAAAGGCACTAAACACAATGGAACTCGGTCCTCCAGTGTCTCTGCCTGGCTTCCGGGGCTGAGCAGCTTGTCCTCCGAGCTCCCATGTCTGACTCCAAACCCAGGTTGGTGCTTTGATCCAATACCAAGTTATTCCATTTGCTGGTGGTAAGTACAGATCTGCTTTCATTCCTGGTACCTACACTGACATCAGCTTGGCTGCCTTGGTTTACACAGACCAGTTAAACAGAGAGCTGGGCAGAGATGGATAAAACTTCCCATTTGCCCCTGTACTGAGATGGAAGGTTGAGGACTGTCTATGTGGGAAGAGCATATAATGGGCAGAATGTCACACAGTGATGATTCTCAAACTTGTCCCTTTGTCCCCTTGGGAACACAGCTCCCCTCTGGAGCACACTCATTAGCCTCCCGTCTACTGCGTGACCATGAGAATGATGTTTGGGCATTGGAATGGAGGCTAAAAGCAAGTTCACCCACTCTGGGCCTAACCCACAGTCTCCCACCCACTTCTCCAGCATGGCCTTAGGGTATTGGGGGCCAGGGGAATCCCGAATGACCTGCGTCAAAACTGATACTTCAGGGTCTCTGCCATCCTGTGTCCCCAAATGCCACAAGAAACACAGCCCCATCATCTACAAGAGGGCCTGGCTCACAGTAGCGTGGCTGTGAATGACTGCACAGAGGGCTGGGAAAAGCTGGGAGCTAAAGGATCAGGGGCCATGAGTCAGGAGAAGCACAGAGACGAAGTGGGGTAGGCAGCGAGAACAGCATGTACAAAGGCCCTGGGGTGGCTGGGGGAAGGTCCACTATGAGCTAGAGAGCTAGTACCTTGGGAGCATCACCAATCCCCCCTTTTGCCTTCTGCAAGCAGTTCAGAGATGGATTAGCATGTGGCCCAAGGGATCCAGGCTAAGGGGACTTTCGGGCTGCGGGAATCTGTGCTGGTTTCCAATGTTGAGTCACAGTCTTACTAGAGAGAATGGGAAGGAAATAAAGCAGTTCAAGCAAAATGGAGCAGATGCAACAGCATGTGTGTTTGAAGAAGGCCAGACTGAGGAAACTTGGGTTCTACTTTCTTTTTTATGAGTGTGATTTGAAAAAGAACTTGTCCTGCCTCTTCAAGAAGTTTTCAGTACCAAAGATTGTTATTCTGGGGCCGGGGATTTAGCTCAGTGGTTTTGCCACCTGCTGCGCAAGCGCAAGGACCCAAGTTCGATCCCCAGTACCAAAAAAAAAAAAAAAAAGATTGTTATTATGATTCTTACTGGAAGTTTACACGTATGTGAATGCTTATGACACTGGGACATGCAAAGGGAGTGAATGAGTTTTATTTCATAACAGTCAGTGTAATACTTACAACTTTCAAGCTGCAGTTGGCTATTTCCATGCAAATAGCCTTAAGAGATGAAATGAAGTTAAATGTCAGGGGGTCGGTTTCCTTCCAGAAGCTTATCAGGAGCCGCACTTTAACGCTTCGCAAAACCAGTGCTTCTCTTATTTTCCCGTCCAAGTCTGGCCAGTAAGTCCTACAGAAGTAATTTCCACATAGATAAAAATAAACAACAAAGTTTGTTTTGGGAAAAAAATTTACTAGGTGACAGAGCATGTTTATATTACTCTGATCACTACATTATTCTGTGATACATAAAGAACCTTGTAGGATTGGCTGAAAAAAATGCAAGACTTTTGGGTTAGATACCAAGAAATGAAGTTTCCTGGGACCTGCGTCTGCCTAAAAGGGGGTCTTCTGCCCCAGGGCCCAGCTGGGGGCCCTCTGGAGCAGACAGACTGGCTGTGGCTTCTCTCACTGCACCTCCTGGGCTACATGGGCCTGAGTGCACACATACACTACAAGTCAACTCTGCCCAGCCAGAAGTCCCAGCTGGAACCTTGCACTCTGTCTCCAAATGCCACTACTACCTCCCTTCTTGGGACACTGTACTAAAATGAACTTCTGCCCTGGTTATCTGAACTTTTCCACACTTATTTCCAGACTGTCCTTAGCAAAGTCTCTCCTCACTACCTTCCACCCTCACCCTAACTTCCCTGTGGCCCACTCTGGGCTGAGCACCTGGACTCCTCCATCAGGCAAAAAGCTTCCTCTGCAGCCTCAACTTCTTCCACAAATCCTTGGCTTCTGCCTTACCTACATCCTGATTTTTCCCAGCGGCCATAGCTTCTCCTAAAGTCTTGCCATATATTCTTCTACTGCTACTTGGCCTCTTGTTTGAGATGTGGGGGAGCCTCCTGCTCTACGCAGTCTTACACAGTGTCACTTCCAGAATTGCCTCTTAGTTCTCACATTAAATCAAGAAACCCTTTCTCTATCTCAAGGACTAGGTGTTAGATCACTGTACCTCCCATACACCCTGAATGTGTGGGACTTCTCCTTACGCATTCCAATCTCAGTCTAATTCTGGACCAACCCACTGGACACATGACACACTATCCCAAAGCTTAGCCTGTCAGGGTCACCATCATTGCACCTCCAAAGGTCGGTCCCCCCTTTGTATTGACCCTGGGTTCCTGCCCGTCCAGTCCCCACTCTCTCACTCATCCTGGACCTGCCCTTTCACCCCGTGAGACCAGAGATCTGGGGGCCCCTCCAGTGTCCCTGCTCCTTTGCCTCCTCTTGCTCTTCTTACCTGCCCAGCCTAATTCCAGTTCTGATCACCTGCAGGAGGGCACTTGCCCCTCTACCTTCCTCTCCCTTAGAGGAAAACCGTTTTAAACCGTGGCTTGTGTTACAGTTCTCTTTGTCTGTTTCTATGCCCACGATGCTGAGAACTACTGAGAAAAAAATCATCTCAGCCTTATGCTCCACACTGGTTTCTGCCTCCACTCTTCCCCTGTCGAGTGCACCTTCCAGGCCACCTACGTGATCCGTCTGCAGCAGATCCGGTCATATCTGCTCCTTGACTGAAAAAAGTAGAGGGTGCTAGAGTCACCAGACTCCCTAGCAGTCAGCCCCCCAGTCCCTGGGCCCTGCCCTCCCTCCAATTTGACCCCTCACCGCCCTACTTTGGGCTGTTTCAGCTGGCCCAGAACTTGTCAAGCTTTTTCTCCATCTGAACCTTTGCTCAAGCTGTTCTTCTGACCTTGGAAAACTTCCTCACTCTTTTCTGACCATTTCGCGACTACTTTAAAATGTAATTCAGGTAGCGTCTCCTCCAACAAACTTCCTCTAACCCTGGGCCTGCACCGGAGTGTCCTTTCATGAGCGCCTCCAATATTCTGTACACAAACCTAATCCCCTTCTCACCACCGTGCTTTGATAATCTCACCTGGGTCCACTTGCCCCTATCAGATGGACCATAAACTGTTCATGCCACAACCCTAAGTGCACATACTCAACACACATTTGTTGAATGGATAAGGAAATGAAAGTTATTAATACAAGCAGTCCTTCTTTATCCTTGGGAAATTCATTCCAAGACCTGGTGGATGCCAGAAACTATGTATGGCACTGCACCCTATCTAGACTATGTCTTTTCCTATACATACATACATACTACATAACACATTATCTATGTTAAGGCGTAATTTATACATTAGGAATAACAAGAGAGGAATAATAGTAGCTAATAATGAAATAGAACAATTACAGCAATAGACGATAATAAAAGTTATTTGAAATTTATGAATTATTTATTTCTGGAAATTCCCATTCAGCAGTTTTAAACTACAGCTAACCTGCAGATAACTCAAATCCCAGAAGGCAAAACTGCAGATCAGGAGGGACAACTGAACCTCAAAGACTAATCAGGCTGGTTCTCTGTACATTTACTGATTTCCTTCTGAAAAACACATTTCATGTGGCTGAGGAAACACATCATGAACAGCATGAAACTGAGACTAAATAATGAAGTGAGCTGCTTAAAGAGCTTCATTGCTCTACCAGGAGGAAGTAACTCTTTATTGCAGGATTTATTTAATCATACATCATTGTTCCATTAACTTTGAAATACCTGGGAAAGTAGAAATTCTAACACTATCAGTAAATGATGGAGAATCTTTTTAAAAAATTTTTTTATTTTATTGGTACCTTTTAGGTATACAATATAATGACATTCATCATTGGAAATTTGCACCTTTACATAATCTCTCTTGGTTCTTTTTTTTCCCCCTTCCCCTGCCCTCCCTTCAATCCCTCCATCCCTCCCTATTTACAAAGACTTTGTTTCCATTTTTTCCTTTTCTCATATTAATTCCATTCCCTTCTTTCCTTTCCCCTCCCCCTCCCACTTCCCCTTCCCCTTTGCCCCTTTTCGTCCTATTTCACATGATCTATTATACCTTTTAGTCCTTATTTACACTTTCAGTTTCTCACACTAGACAAACTATTCGGTATTTACACATGTGTGTCCTATTTATTTCCTTAAGAGTATCGCCTCAATATGCATCCATTTAGTTATAAATGTTTCTAATTTTTCATTTTTTATGGCTGAGTAGTACTCCATTTTATAAAAAAATCCCACATTTTCTTTATCCAGTCTCCAGTTGATGGGCATTTGGGCTGTTTCCAAGTTTTAGCTATTACAAACTGTGCTGCTCATGAACATGGGTGCATATATATCACTGTGGTATGATTCTTTTAATTCTTTGGAGACGATACCCAGCAAGGGAATAGCTGGGTCAAATGGGACTTCCAGTCCTAGTTCTTTGAGGTCTGGAGAATCTTTTTTAACAGGCTGTCAATCACTTCTCACTTGGGAGTGTGTGAATTTTTTTCTTTCATTTGGATATTTGGCAGTAGACTAAAAGTTAATTCTCTAAGATATTCATTAATTCCATGAACACACAAACATGGTAGTATGTATTTTTTTAAAATAAAATTGAATTCACTCTTGAAAAACTTTTCTAGGACTATGTAAAAATGAGTAAATAGACTTTTAAAAAATTTCTTTATATGATTGAGAAGAATTTAATTATAAGCTGGCTGTTTGGACTACTTATTTCTCTCTGGTGATCTTTTTGTTTAGAAAGCTTGAAGTATAGGTTTGAAATTTTAAAAATACTCTAAAAGAAGTATCTTTTGAACAACAACCAAAAACTAAAGAAGATGCAAAATTTTAGTGACTGTCAAATTCTTTGACATTCTTTTAATTTTCTCTTTTATATTTCTAAGATATATTAGATCTTATATCTTAGGTCTTAGATCCATGTTAATTCCTTTTCCTTTGTTCCATGGGACTTCATGGAATAGAGGTTTTGTCAAACCTGAGCATGCATCATCCTATCCTAACATGTAACTACATGAACTTGACTTCTTCTCAATAACAGGAAAGAGAGGGAAAATCTGTTGTATTTAAACTGCTTCCCAAAGTGAAGCTGAAGTCTAAAACCAACTAAGCAACACATGGGAGAAATATAAAAAACAGAGAGAAAAGATGTGAACATGTGTGTGGGAAAAAAATCTATGAATGTTCACAGGATGCGAAATATTTTAAAGTAAAAGCATTTTAATAACATGCATCTTGAAGCTTAAAATGCTTTTCACTGACTGTCATCAGGGATGCTCATTTCCTGGCAGACTCCTTTTGCAAATTGACAGTTATGTGCATAAAGAAGTTACATATTATTCATATGTGGGTTGCAAATCCGAAAATTATTCAAGCAATATGGGACACACTTAACACACATTTAACCTCAGGAATGTGATTTTGAATTTGTCATTTTCCAAATTAAAAAGGTCTTGGGTTGCACTCCTAGAAATGTGCATTTTGGAAACATTTCCTGCATTGAAACTAATTATTTGAAACACTGACAAGCACCCAAATAGCCGTAATCCCAGCAAGAGGGCAAAGGTGGGATTACCTGAGGGTGGGCATGCATTTAAACATGCAAGTCTGTCCCTCAGTCTACTCCAGGTACCTGCATACTTTACAATCCTGAGCTACTGAAAACAATGCTGATACCTTTCTCAGAGTAATGCACTGGCTGAAAATATCTACATTATAAATGTTCTTGAATTTCTCCTTTACATTGAGAAAATATGTGAGAGATTAGCATTTAATGAAGATTGCCATGAATACAAGAAAGCAATGACCCTTAAGTTTCATTTAGCATGCTCTTCAGGTACATCCTCATTAATTTTAAAATAATAAAATCTCAAAAATATTTTCATTTCATTTCATTTCATTTCATTTTGTTTTATTTTATTTTATATATTTTGCCACTGGAGGCAAAATAACCACTGGAGGTCAAACCCAGAGCTTCACAAATGCTAGGCAAGTGTCTGTTGCTGAGCTATACCCCCAGCCTTTTTTTGGGTTTTATTTAGTATTTTACTTTATTTTTCTTCCCAGGTAACTTTCAAAGTGAGAACAACCCAACCTTCCTTCTGAAATTGCTATCGTGCCTACAGTGTAAACGACTGAGGGACTTCAGAAGGATGAGATCCCTTGTCCTTAAACTGGACATCTGGGGAGGAGATGCATCATGGGTGAACTGCAGGTGCACACAGGTGTACTTGAACCGTGCTGTCTTCCTGATGCAACCTGGTAGTGCCTCAGTGTTCAGGTGGGTTCCCCTGTGGTGCCCTGGCTCAGAGGCTGCGTGCTCATTAGGAGCGGGGCGCTCACTGACCTTTTGGTGCTCGTGCTGGAGATGGGCAGGTAGTCCATGACGGCGATGTACACGTACTGCTTGGCATCGTCTATCACACTGTAGATGGCATCTATGTCAAAGCTTCTGTTTTTAGGGCAAAAGAGTTTGGGAGAATTCTGTGAAGACACAAAGACCAAAATATTGGAGCATTAATTGTTGGCATGAGACTGGGCTTGGAACCAAATTATTGCAAACCTACTTTCTGCTTCCTGATCAGATTAGGTGAAGCTATTTTTGTCTTACTGATGTTGAGGCATGAAGACATGAAGCTTAGGTGGGATGGGTCTTTAGTCTGTCCTTTTAGACTGTTTCAAGACAGAATCTTTGTTTTCATTACACACACTCCAGCCTCGACCTTGTAGATTCCAGGTTATGCCCCCATCATCCATAGCTATTCATTTTCTCTACAGCAAGCAAATTATTCTAGATATCATTTCACCGAAGGGTTGATGTGGCCATGAAAATAAGAGATATAGAATCAAAACTTGTTATTTTTTCCCCTGACTCGTTCAGGAAGAGTAGTGTTGATTGTATATGAAGATCATCCATAAGCCCACAGGAGAAACTGAGTGAGTTATGAAGATGCCCAAGTTCATCAATCCACCCAAAGAAGAAGGATATTCTGCCAGACTTCAGCAAAATGAAAAAAGAAGCAAACTGTGCTTGTGGTATTTTTTCATGTTGCTTGAAGTTTCCATCTTAAAAAAATATGATGTTTTTAGATGCAGTTTCTATAGCAAGGGAAAGCTGTGCTTTTTTTTTTTCATTATTTTTTCACTGGACAGAATTGCAGATAGTATTCCCTACAGTTCCTGTCTTTCTTGGACAAGCAGTACACTACAGCAAGTCTAGAAGCACAAATAACTCAAGGAGTTGGACACCTAAAGGCTGAAGAGATGGTATCTGGGACTGCTCAGAATAAATGAGACCACTGGCAGTTGAAATCTGTAAGTCACTTCCGGTTACAAGTCCTGTTCCGCATCGGTAGTAATCCCCACCCCAGCCCAGAGGTTCATGAGATGGGGTTCCTGAAACAGATACATGTGGTAAGAAAGGAGGATGCTGAAGGTGGCCCTCCCTCCAGGCATCACTGTCCAGGAAATTCTCCTGGCAGGTGAGGAGCATGGTGTGTTTTTGATACCTTATTTTTTCTTTTGGAATGGAGACAAGCTTCCAATTTCAACAATAGCAACAATATACATTCAAATAACAACAACATTGCTAGTCCTGTGCTCCCTCCCCAGCACACAGATGTGCAGGCACCCATTTGTCACCAAAACAGACAGCACCTGCCTCTCTAGGGCTTCTGGGAGTGGTCCCTCCCTCTTCCTTCTGATGGCCAGTTCTCTCATGCCGCCACCAGTGCTGTTCAGCGGGCTTTGTAACAGTTTCCTAATCCACTACCCAACGTGTTCTGGTCTCCAGGAATGCGGCCTGGGAGGGGTGTACCCATGGCTTTTGCTCTACTTTTCCTTATTTGCTGGCTACCATGCTATCTGAGTCCCTAGAATGAAACACTCACCACCCCATGGCTCTGTTCTTATCGTATCGGCCTCTGGCCGTTTGCTCAGCTGGTCCCTCCAGCTGATGAAAACATTTTTGGCCACCAAAGGTCCTATTGGCCCTGTTGTCTAAATTCCAACTCAAATATTATCTCCTCCACGAGACTTTTCTTTAGAAACTCAACCGCACATTGCCTCTCCCACCTCTGTACTCCCATACTATGTATTTATTTTTTTACCGTCCTGTTGGTGTACGGTTCAATGACACTAAATACATTCACAGTGTTGTTCAACCATTGCCACCAGCCATCTGCAGAATTTACTTACCTTATTTAGCATATTCAAATTTATACTATAATTACTTGTAATTGTCTCCCCTCCTCAACTACATTGTTTCTAGTTTGATTTTAGGAACCTTATTTCATTCATTTTCTTTTTTTTTTTTTTAATTTGTGGATGAATTTTTAAAATATATTTTAAAAATTTTTTATCTTTTTGTTACTGCGGATTGAACTTGGGTCCTTGCACTTTTGAGGCAGGTGGCGGAACCACTGAGCTAAATCCCCCGACATTATTTTATTCATTTTCTTACATTCATTAAAAATTAAAGATCGAAATCACTTAATTTCCTCAGCCTGCTGGGTCTACTTTAAACATGTTTCAGGATACCATAGAGAAGCTAAGGATTTTATCTCTGGACAGGCTCCCAGGCTAACTCCAAAATGTGTCTAAGTACCCATGTTTTTATTCCAATGGAGAACATCCTGAATTTCATCACATGATCCCAGAAGGGATTTTATTTATTGGTGGGCTCTTTACATTTGCTATCATCTCACAAGCAGTAGTCTAGAGGAAAGAGCAGAGCTTTGGTGACACAGGTCCCATTCTAGCCCTTACAGCCTGAGATGTCTGTCTTGGGTGGTCCCTTACACTCCGAGTCTCTGCTTCTTAATGGGGCCAGTAACAGTGACCTGCTGCTCACACTGGTTTACTCTGAGGCTTCTTAAGAGCACGGTTTGTGCCCTTGCTGGATCCTGTGCCCCTCTTCTGAGCTTGCTTCTGTTCCATCAGAAGGGTTTCCAGGTCCTGCCATCCTCTTGGACCACACGGGTACCTGGCATGCGGTGACTGATCGAGACTGGGTCCCTATTTTGTGGAGCTTTGTGCTAGCACACGTCACATGCTGTTGTGCTCTTTGCCTACATCCTTATCTTCTAGTTCATGAGCTGTTTGGTTGTCTGTGCCCCTGCACCTTGTACCATACACATACATGTGCTCAGTATTTGTCGAGTGAATGTGAAAGCGTTTCACACATTAATAAATGTTGAGGGTTTGTCTGACACCACACTCCAAACCCAGTTGGAGTTGCTTTATTCTAGGTATTTCCAAACATGTATGAAGAGATGTTTATCAGCATTTATCCACCTTATTGTTTCCTATGGTCCCACTGCCTAACACAATGCCTAGAACTTGGCATCTGCTCCGTGTGTTTACAGAGAACGAACGTTTACTCACAGCAGTGTCCTTCCCCGGGGGGCTTGTCAGTCACCTCCTGTGTGTTCCAGACCCTCGACCTTTACAAACAGCGCCTGTCTGCAGTAGTGTCATATACATGTTTGTTCAAGATATAAATGAATAAATTACAACATAGGAGAATGATCTACTACTCTGGCACAGGATTTTTTAAAAATAGGAAATCATTATGAAATAAATAAAATTAACTAGTTTCAGGTGTATAATGAGAGAGAAGGCTGTTAAGTTCCTTCTTTGCACGCTACTGTAATTTCTTGACCCTGGCAAGGTGCATTCTTTGTTTCACAGTAAAGTAGGAGAAGGAAAATAAAGATCCTATTCTATATTTCAGCTCTGTGATAATCTTTTAGCAATCAAAAACTTTTGAGGCACCCCATTTCTGGGCTAATCTAGGTTATTCTCTTAGATGACTAAGTGCCTTTTATGTGCATGGAATGTGTTTTGCATACTCACTCAATACTCGCCTTTTAAAGACCTTAGCATGGGCGGGGCTGTGGGGAAAGAGGAACCCTGCTCCACTGCTGGTGGGAGTGTAGACTGGTGCAAGCACTGTGGAAATCAGTATGGAGATACCTCAAAGA